TTCCAAGGATTGAGTATTATTTCTAGGACTGGTGTCACCTTGAGAGCGTTCCCGTCTGTTCCTCCAAACCCATCCAGTACAGGGGCGGACTGACCATTTGGAAACTCGGGCACTGCCTGAGGGCCCGAGGTCAGTAGGGGGCCCCATGAGATGCCCCTGGTACCTTTTTCATAGGCTTTTTTGAGTTTGGGCAAGGACACAGGGGCCCCATGATCCTCTATTGTCCGGGAGCCCCATGAGTTGTCAGTCCGCCCCTGATCCAGTAATTTTTATAAAGATGTACAGCGTGATTTACAACCAATTCCTTGAAAGGACTTCACTGTGCCTAGTTCTAATGGCAATACACACACACATATACTATGAAGGATCCAGTAGAGAAGAAACACATGTGATGGCTCATGAAGTATTTACAATTATGTGAGTAAATGTGTGTACAGGGTTTACAATCCTGAGAATTTTTTTTTTTTTTTTTTTTTGTCTTTTGTTTTGTTTTTTTATGCATACACATGCTTATATGCATAGAATACAGGAATATGCTGGTTTCAGAATTTTGTCTTTTTTTTTTTTTTTTTCCCTTTTAATAATCCCCGTAAACACTACTCTAGAATATGGAGCTAAATGCCATGTGGACACATTGGCTACAATGGAGGAAAGTGGAAAGATGGTGCTGGACCCGTAGGGTCATCCGGCTGCTATTGTCGTAATCTTAGGGTGATCTGGCTCCTGGGCCGGCGGCTTCTAAACCCCAGAGGATCACCACAACCTCCTTGTAATGTAATTCAAAAAACTGAAGTGTCACAGCATTGCTAAAAGATCCAGATACAACTTTATTCCATCAAAAATCAGGGGTGCAATCCAAAAAGTTTCCAGTGCGTTTTGGGGGGTCCAAGAGTGCCCCCCTTCATCAGGGCTTGACTGATTTCAGTGTGAACACACCGGAAATGAACTGGTATTTTTTTTTCAGTGTGAATTATGAGCAGAGGTCTTTTCAGCAGTTGGTTCAGCAACAGCCGCCGAAACGCGTTGGTTACTTTTTGGATCGTCCCCCTGGCTTTATAGGGATTCACACATAAATAGGGGGCAATGTGAATTGGCTCGTAATTGAATGAAGTTGTAGCTGCACCTCTTAGCATTGGCGTGGAGCTTCAATTCTCGTTCATCGGTTATAATAGAGATTTTATTATTTATTTCAGGTACTTATATAGCGCCGTCAATTTACGCAGCACTTTACATATATATTGTACATTCACATCGGTCCCTAACCCTCAAGGGGCGTACAATCTAAGGTCCCTAACCCTCAAGGGGCGTACAATCTAAGGGCCCTAACCCTCAAGGGGCGTACAATCTAAGGTCCCTAACCCTCAAGGGGCGTACAATCTAAGGTCCCTAACCCTCAAGGGGCGTACAATCTAAGGTCCCTAACCCTCAAGGGGCGTACAATCTAAGGGCCCTAACCCTCAAGGGGCGTACAATCTAAGGGCCCTAACCCTCAAGGGGCGTACAATCTAAGGTCCCTAACCCTCAAGGGGCGTACAATCTAAGGTCCCTAACCCTCAAGGGGCGTACAATCTAAGGGCCCTAACCCTCAAGGGGCGTACAATCTAAGGGCCCTAACCCTCAAGGGGCGTACAATCTAATCTAACCCTCAAGGGGCGTACAATCTAAGGGCCCTAACCCCTCAAGGGGCGTACAATCTAAGGGCCCTAACCCTCAAGGGGCGTACAATCTAAAACCCCCTCAAGGGGCGTACAATCTAAGGGCCCTAACCCCAAGGGGCGTACAATCTAAGGGCCCTAACCCTCAAGGGGCGTACAATCTAAGGGCCCTAACCCTCAAGGGGCGTACAATCTAAGGGCCCTAACCCTCAAGGGGCGTACAATCTAAGGGCCCTAACCCTCAAGGGGCGTACAATCTAAGGGCCCTAACCCTCAAGGGGCGTACAATCTAAGGGCCCTAACCCTCAAGGGGCGTACAATCTAAGGGCCCTCTAAGGGCGTACAATCTAAGGGCCCTAACCCCTTAAGGGGCGTACAATCTAAGGGCCCTAACCCTCAAGGGGCGTACAATCTAAGGGCCCTAACTCACATTCATACATACACATACTAGGGACAATTTAGACAGGATCCAATTAACCTCCCAGCATGTCTTTGGAGTGTGGGAGGAAACCGGGGTACCCAGAGGAAACCAACGCAGGCACAGGGAGAACATGCAAACTCCAGGCAGGTGGTGCCTTTTATTATGGATGATCCATATGGATCTGAATGCAGTGTTTTTTCTGTGTCCGTATACATGAGCGCCAATATTCTTTGATTTTAAATTTTTAAAAAAAATAATGATGTCTATATGGAATGAATAGCCTGACTGGGGCAGAAGTGTTTGATTGGGTCACCTTTGTTCCCATAGAAGAGCGGGGCCGGATGAGACCTTTCATTTAATATGGAGACTGCCATGGCTGACCTGTTTGCCGGCAATGCTCACTATCTGGCTGTTATGCTACCTCTCCGACTTTGATCCTCTGAGCCACTTGCACATCGAGTAAAGCTGGCCATGCACGGCTCGAATTCCGTCTGATTCCCGCTGCCTTGGCCGAAATTCGAGCAGCTCATGGCCCTGCCGGCACCCAAATCATTTCCATTGAATTTTGTCGAAGGAGTCTGTAGGAAGCTTGGCGGCCAAACAGTGCCTGCGTCCATTCAGCTGCAGGCACTCTTCAGGTATTCTGACAGCCGGACGTGCCAACTGTCAGAATACAATAGCCCGGCTGTCTCCCAGCTCCTGAGAATGCATAACTGCACCAGATAACAAAGTTATGAGGAATGTAAACGACAGGCATTTATTCAGTGTTGTGCACACTCTGAAGCTGGGATGTAGTGTAACTGAAACAAGTACAGAGGATGTAAAACATCATCTAAATCTATGACTAGCACACTTCTATAGTGAGAATAACTCAAGGCCCATATTGTGCTTCTGGTATTCTTTCAGTAGATGTCCTTGACCTTGGTCAGTAGTTGACCTCTGCATCCTAGACGCCTTTCAAATGTGCACCCCTCTTATTTACATTATTAAAATGTGCACCCCTCTTATTTACATTATTAAAATGTGCACCCCTCTTATTTACATTATTAAAATGTGCACCCCTCTTATCTGCATTGTTGCCACTATAATATGTGCCCCTCTTATTTACATTGTTGCCTTAAATATATGCGCCCCTCTTATTTACATTATTAAAATGTGCATCCCTCTTAATTATATATTGTTACTATTAAAATGTGCACCCCACTAATTTACATTGTTGCCAGTAAAATGTGCACCCCTCTTATTTACATTTTTTAGCGTGCACCCCCCTCTTAATTACATGGTTACCATTAAAATGTGCTCCCCGCTAATTTACATTGTTGCCTTAAAAATGTGCATCCCTCTTAATTACATTGTTGTCTTTATATTGTGTACCCCTTTTATTTACATTATTAAAATGTGCACCCCGCTAATTTAAATTGTTGCCATTCAAATGTGCACCCCTCTTATTTACATTGTTGCCATTATAATGTGCCCCCTTTTTAATTACTTTGTGGCCATTAACATGTGTACCCCTCTTATTTACGCTGCTGCCGTTATAATGGACACCCCTCTTATTTACATTATTAAAATGTGCACCCCTCTTAATTACATTGTTGCCATTATAATGTGCACCCTTCTTATTTACATTGTTGCCATAATGTGCACCCCTTTTATTTACATTAATAAAATGTGCACTCAGCTAATTTAAATGGCTGCCTTTAAAATGTGTACCCCTCTTAATTACTTTGTGGCCATTCACGTGCGGCCCTTTTATGTACATTAATAACGTGCACCCCTCTTATTTACATTGTTGCCATTGAAATGTGCACCCCTTTTATTTACATTGTTGCCATTATAATGTGCACCCCTCTTATTTACATTGTTTCCATTATAGTGTGCACCCCTTTTATTTACATTCGTAAAATGTGCACCCCACTAATTTAAATTGTTGCCATTATAATGTGCGCCCCTCTTATTTACATGTTACCATTATAATGTGCGCCCCTCTTATTTACATGCTATTATTATAATGTGCGCCCCTCTTATTTACATGCTACCATTATAATGTGCGCCCCTCTTATTTACATGCTACCATTATAATGTGCGCCCCTCTTATTTACATGCTACCATTATAATGTGCGCCCCTCTTATTTACATGTTACCATTATAATGTGCGCCCCTCTTATTTACATGTTACCATTATAATGTGCGCCCCTCTTATTTACATGCTACCATTATAATGTGCGCCCCTCTTATTTACATGTTACCATTATAATGTGCGCCCCTCTTATTTACATGTTACCATTATAATGTGCGCCCCTCTTATTTACATGTTACCATTATAATGTGCGCCCCTCTTATTTACATGTTACCATTATAATGTGCGCCCCTCTTATTTACATGTTACCATTATAATGTGCGCCCCTCTTATTTACATGTTACCATTATAATGTGCGCCCCTCTTATTTACATGCTACCATTATAATGTGCGCTCTTATTTACATGTTACCATTATAATGTGCGCCCCTCTTATTTACATGTTTAATGTGCGCCCCTCTTATTTACATGTTACCATTATAATGTGCGCCCCTCTTATTTACATGTTACCATTATAATGTGCGCCCCTCTTATTTACATGTTACCATTATAATGTGCGCCCCTCTTATTTACATGTTACCATTATAATGTGCGCCCCTCTTATTTACATGTTACCATTATAATGTGCGCCCCTCTTATTTACATGCTACCATTATAATGTGCGCTCTTATTTACATGTTACCATTATAATGTGCGCCCCTCTTATTTACATGTTACCATTATAATGTGCGCTCCTCTTATTTACATGTTACCATTATAATGTGCGCCCCTCTTATTTATAATGTGCACCCCTCTATTTCCATTGTTGCACATTTCTGACCTCTGTCTCTTTTTTTTAACCGCAGCTTTCCCAGGCGGCCCCTACACAAGGAAAGGAGTACAAATCCACACAAGGTAAGGGTCGATCCTTTGCTGGGCATGTATTCCGTGTTTTTGCTGGGACCCGTGTTCTGTACAGCTTTGCTCATCTATAGTATTTCTGCTGCGTGTTCTTTTAGAGTCCATATGGCAGTTGATGGTGATCCGCAGAGAGCGTGGTGACGTGTGCATGCCGAGTGTTTGCTGATACGCAGCCTACGTGCAGCACCTGGGCAGTGACAGGTCCTAATATTATACAATGACAAGACGTCCCTCCCGTGTTGTGGCATAGCTGGGGCAACGGCTTAAAGGGCAGCCACATACAGATCCCATGTTCCAGAGACTTGTCACATGCTGCAACCTGAACCGTGGAAATTCTGGCCGTGTGGAAAGGGCTGTAGACTGTACGGAGCATCTCTCCTGCAATGGGGATCATCACCTAATATCTGCGTCATTGACCCCTCTACAATCCTTGCAGCACTTTTTCCCCCGACTGTATGAAATCTGCTTTTACTCGGTCTAGTCAGTTGGCAGAGCTCTGACAAGGGGAATGCATTGTACAGTCTCACTATACTGGCAGAAAATGTCTCATTGTTATTTCCCATTATTATCCCGCCTGCGGTGGTTTAAGATTAGTCAGCCCGTTTATTTTAAGCTGGTGAAACGTGGGGAGCGTGCGGCAGGAGGAAGGGGGGGGGCTGCTGGAAAAACACGCTGTCACTCCATGGAAGCATTGTGGGATAGTCACGAATCATCCGACTGCATCACCGGATGGCTGGAGACGTTATAGGTAGAAACTTCCAATAAAGTCACGGGTTCACTGACCATTAATGGTGATGATCTGAAGATCTTGGAATAACAGACCATGAACATTGATAGTAACTTCCAGTTGGGTCATCGTGTGCCCACCGACCATTAATGGTGGTGATCTTAAGATCATAGAATTGACACATTATAGGTAGAAACGTCTAACGGGGTCATTGTGTGTCCACTGACCATTAATGGTGGTGATCTTAAGATCATAGAATTGACACATTATAGGTAGAAACGTCTAACGGGGTCATTGTGTGCCCACCGACCATTAATGGTGGTGATCTTAAGATCATAGAATAGCAACCCAGACACATTATAGGTAGACACTTCCAACAGGGTCATCGTGTGTCCACTGACCATTATTGGTGGTGATCTTAGGATCATAGAATAGCAACCCAGACACATTATAGGTAGAAACGTCTAACGGGGTCATTGTGTGTCCACCGACCATTATTGGTGGTGATCTTAAGATCATAGAATAGACACATTATAGGTAGAAACGTCTAACAGGTCATCATCGTGTGCCCACCGACCATTAATGGTGGTGATCTTAAGATCATAGAATTGACACATTATAGGTAGAAACTTCTAACAGGGTCATTGTGTGTCCACTGACCATTATTGGTGGTGATCTTAAGATCATAGAATAGCAACCCAGACACATTATAGGTAGACACTTCCAACAGGGTCATTGTGTGTCCACTGACCATTATTGGTGGTGATCTTAGGATCATAGAATAGCAACCCAGACACATTATAGGTAGACACACTTCCAACAGGGTCATCGTATGCCCACCGACCATTAATGGTGGTGATCTTAAGATCGTACAATAGACACATTATAGGTAGAAACTTCTAACAGGGTCGTTGTGTGTCCACTGACCATTATTGGTGGTGATCTTAAGATCATAGAATAGCAACCCAGACACATTATAGGTAGACACTTCCAACAGGGTCATTGTGTGTCCACTGACCATTATTGGTGGTGATCTGATTATAGAATAACAGCTGGAGATGTAATTGCTGGAAACTTTCAATAGGATCATCGTGTGTTCACCGACCATTAATGGTCATGATCTGTAGGTTATAGAATAACAGTCGTAGACGTTATTGGTAGAAACCTCCAATAATGGTCAATGGACAGACTATGACCCTAACGGTGATCTGCAGGTCATTGAATAACAGCCAGATATGTTATTGGTAGAATCTTCCAATAGGGTCATCATGTGTCCACCAACCATTAATGGTGATGATCTTCAGATCATAGAATAGCAACCTGGAGACTTTACAGGTAGAAACTTCCAACAGGGTCATTGTATATCCACTGACCAGTAATGGTGGTGATCTGCTGATTATAGAATAACAGCTGGAGATGTCATTGTGTCATTGCTGGAAACATCCAATAGAATCATCATGTGTTCACCGACCATTAATGGTGATCTGCAGATTATAGAATAACAGCCGGAGACATTATTGATAGAATCTTCCAATAGGGTTATCAGGTGTCCACCAACCATTAATGATGATGATCTGTACGTTCTAGAATACCAGCTGGAGATGTTATTGGTTGAAACTTCCAACAGGATCATCATTTGTCCACTGACCGTTATGGGTGACCTGCAGATCATAAATAACAGCTGGAGATTTCATTGGTGGAAACTTCCAATAGGGTCATTGTGTCCATCAACCATTAATGGTGATGATCTGTAGGTTATAGAATACCAGCCGGAGATGTTATCGGTTGAAACTTCCAACAGGATCATCATTTGTCCATCGACCATTAATGGTGACCTGCAAATCATAAATACCAGCTGGAGATTTCATTGGTTGAAACTTCCAATAGGGTCATCATGTGTCCACCAACCATTAATGGTGATGGTTTGTAGGTTATAGAATACCAGCTGGAGATGTTGTTGGTTGAAACTTCCAACAGGATCATCATTTGTCCATCGACCATTAATGGTGACCTGCAAATCATAGAATAACAGCTGGAGATTTCATTGGTTGAAACTTCCAATAGGGTCATCATGTGTCCATCAACCATTAATGGCGATGATTTGTAGGTTCTAGAATAACAGCTGTATATGTTTTTGGTTGAAACTTTCAATAGGATCATCGTTTATCCACTGGCCATTAATGGTGTCCTGCAGATTATAGAATAACAGCTAGAGACGTATTGGTGGAAACTTACAATAGGGTCATTGTGTGGTGTCCACCGACTATTATTGGTGATGATCTGCAGATTATAGAATCACAGCCCATTACGTTCAGGTTTCAGCTGCCATAGCAATCTAGGGAATAAACCTTTTTTGTTTCTTGCTAATGAAAATCAATGTTTGTGTGTAGAGGATAATTCTTCATGATGTATTTCTCTTATCAGTTGGAGTTGTCTTCCTTCCCAGGGCCGTAAGCATGGTGCCGTCCTCTCCTCTCCTACACACTCGCTGCCCCAACTGGCTGGATGCACCCGTTGTCGCTAGCCTTGCTCACATCAGGGAAATGTTTTGTATTTTTACTTTCTGCTGTGTTGTTTTGAAAATTTCTGGAAGAATGTCCAATAGTGATTAGATAGCAGCCCTGAGCTAGCGCCAGAAAAAAGACTGCTCGTTGTACCCAAATGAAAAGTTCTGTTGATGTTTGACTGCAAATAAATTTCTCCTTTTGTGCAAATTCCAAAGTGCAGCAATGAAGGATGCGTTGGACGGCAGTGATGTGAACGGGAGAGTGTGGTGCCTACCTGTGTAATATACGGGGATAGGAGTGGGAGAGTGTGGTGCCTACCTGTGTAATATACGGGGATAGGAGTGGGAGAGTGTGGTGCCTACCTGTGTAATATACGGGGATAGGAGTGGGAGAGTGCAGCACCTACCAGTGTAATATACAGGGATAGGAGTGGGAGATGCAGCACCTACCAGTGTAATATACAGGGATAGGAGTGGGAGAGTGCAGCGCCTGCCAGTGTAATATACAGGGATATGAGTGGGAGAGTGCAGCGCCTGCCAGTGTAATATACAGGATAGGAGTGGGAGAGTGCAGCACCTACCAGTGTAATATACAGGGATAGGAGTGGGAGAGTGCAGCGCCTGCCAGTGTAATATACAGAGATATGAGTGGGGGAGTGCAGCGCCTGCCAGTGTAATATACAGGGATATGAGTGGGAGAGTGCAGCGCCTGCCAGTGTAATATACAGGGATATGAGTGGGGGGAGTGCAGCGCCTGCCAGTGTAATATACAGGGATAGGAGTGGGAGAGTGCAGTGCCTGCCAGTGTAATATACAGGGATATGGAGTGGGAGAGTGCAGCACCTGCCAGTGTAATATACAGGGATATGAGTGGGAGAGTGCAGCGCCTGCCAGTGTAATATACAGGGATATGAGTGGGAGAGTGCAGCGCCTGCCAGTGTAATATACAGGGATATGAGTGGGAGAGTGCAGCGCCTGCCAGTGTAATATACAGGGATATGAGTGGGAGAGTGCAGTGCCTGCCAGTGTAATATACAGGGATAGGAGTGGGAGAGTGCAGTGCCTGCCAGTGTAATATACAGGGATAGGAGTGGGAGAGTGCAGTGCCTGCCAGTGTAATATACAGGGATATGAGTGGGAGAGTGCAGTGCCTGCCAGTGTAATATACAGGGATATGAGTGGGAGAGTGCAGCGCCTGCCAGTGTAATATACAGGGATAGGAGTGGGAGAGTGCAGTGCCTGCCAGTGTAATATACAGGGATAGGAGTGGGAGAGTGCAGCACCTGCCAGTGTAATATACAGGGATATGAGTGGGAGTGTGCAGCACCTGCCAGTGTAATATACAGGATATGAGTAGGGGAGTGCAGCACCTGCCAATGTAATATACAGGGATAGGAGTAGGAGAGTGCAGCACCTGCCTGTGTAATATACAGGGATAGGAGTGGGAGAGTGCAGCGCCTGCCAGTGTAATATGCAGGGATATGAGTGGAGAGTTGCAACAAATACCTATTGTAAAATGCAGTGGTGTGAGCAGGAGAGTGAGGTGAATGCCTGTGTAATATGCAGTGATAGGAGTAGGAGGATGCAGCACCGGTCAATGTAATATGTAGTGATAAGTAGGGAGAGTTCGGCATCTGCCTGTGTAATATGCAGGGATAGGAGTAGGAGAGTTGCGGCATCTGCCAATGTAATATGCAGTGATAGGAGTAGGACTTTGCAGGACTTACCAATATAATATGCAGTGATAGGAGTAGGAGGACTTTGCAGGCTCCTGCCAACATAATATGCAGCAATAGGAGTAGGAGGTTGCAGCGCCTACTAATGTAGTATGCAGCGGTAGAAGTAGGGAGGTGTGGCATCTGCCAGTGTAATATGTAGTGATAGGAGTAGGAGGTTGCAGCATCTGCCAATGTAATATGTAGTGATAGGAATAGGAGAGTGCAGCATCTGCCAATGTAATATGTAGTGATAGGAATAGGAGAGTGCAGCACCTGCCAATGTAATATGCAGGGATAGGAGTAGGAGAGTGCAGCACCTGCCAATGTAATATGCAGGATAGGAGTAGGAGAGTGCAGCACCTGCCAATGTAATATGTAGTGATAGGAATAGGAGAGTGCAGCACCTGCCAATGTAATATGCAGGGATAGGAGTAGGAGAGTGCGGCGCCCGCTGGCGTAATATGAAGTGGTAATCCAGGAACTGTAAATGTAAATTCTGCAAACACTGGGAGAGACACAACCTCTTGTAGTGATGGAGCCCCGAGTAACGTCCTTTATAACCTCCATTGGCTCCTCCAGAAGAGTGCAGCTATTACCAATGCAAAAAGAAATGCTGTAATTTGCAGGAAAACGATTATTCGTCTTTCCCGCGAGGGTCATATTTTGTGGGGGGTGGGAGTTTCTCCAGTTCCTCAGCTGCCTTTTAGCAGTGCCGAGAGATGGGGGGGGGGAGGGAAGGGCACCGTTCCAGCAGCTGCTGCTCTGGTGGTCTCCAGCACTGGACCACTACAGAGGGAGCCGGTGGAGCCGGAAGGGAGGGACAGTGGGGAGTTAAATGAGGACTTGTGCCGGAGGCAGATCGCAGCCAGCACGCTCCCATCAGTATGGGCTCACAGCAGAGGAACGGAATCTTTTCCCAACAAGTGTTGGATTTTGGAAAAAGAAGGTTATAGGGTTGGGGAATGGGGGCATGGTTGGGGAATGGGGGCATGGTTGGCCCCCCAGCCGGATGGAAGCCCCTCCAACAGGCACTAGTTCCTGGCAGTGAATCCGGTAGGATTTTTTAGGGGCTTTAACTCTAATCCCAGAAGCCAATGAAACAATCACACTGGGATGCAGGAACTGCGAGGGGAATTTTTCCTGCTAATCCAGACACCATGTGGCCGAACACTTCTTGACTAGCAGCCTTTGTCCTCCTTGCTGAGAAATGCATCTCTAATTAGTTCCTCTACATGTAGCTGGATATATTCCCCCCCCCCCCCCCCCCCCCTATAAGGACTACAGACACTGAGAATTTCTGCTGCTCCTTGTTAACCAGATCACAGCGTTTCACCGTGTAACCTGACCGCGCCAACGGGAGCAGCCTTGTAGTGGCATTACTGAGACACCAGCCCCATGGTATCGCACTTTCCAAGGCAGTTACTATATGTATGTAGCGGCGGCATTTATTTATTTTTTTTCCCTAAATACCTGCCTGTCCTAGGGTGACAACACTCGCTGTACTGTGTCCATCCTGGGGCAGTATTGTCACCCTAAGACAGGACTAGAGAACAGCTCCCCCTAGTGTCTGCTCTGTAACACAGGTGTAGGAGATCTGTAGGTCACAGAACTGGGCAGGGTTGTCAAGACTGTTTGAGAATGTCAGTGCAGCCTCGGCACAAGAAGGTCAAGCGGAAATAAAAGTCTCAGTTTTCAACAAAATGCTCACAGCTTGTCAGAAGAGATTCTGGGGGAGATTTACTAAAGGCAAATAGACTGGGCAGTTGCTCCAGAGCTTCGTAAATGATTAAGGTTTCACTTTGCAAAGAATACCAATCACATGCAAGGAAGAAAAACAAAAAAAAACAGCATTTGTGCTTGCATGTGATTGGATGATGGAAGTCAGCAGAGCTTCAGCTCATTTACTAAGCTCTGGAGCGACTCAATCAACCCCTATGTGAGCAGCAAGGATCCCGTCATCAGGCTAGGTTTGTACACTGAGCGGCACATGCATTGCTTCGTGTACAACCATGCCTGGTGAAGGGACCTCTGGTGACATGGCGCCTGAGGGGGACCTCTGGTGACATGGCGCCTGAGGGGGACCTCTGGTGACATGGCGCCTGAGGGGGACCTCTGGTGACATGGCGCCTGAAGGGGGACCTCTGGTGACATGGCGCCTGAAGGGGGACCTCTGGTGACATGGCGCCTGAAGGGGGACCTCTGGTGACATGGCGCCTGAAGGGGGACCTCTGGTGACATGGCGCCTGAAGGGGGACCTCTGGTGACATGGCGCCTGAGGTGGACCTCTGGTGACATGGCGCCTGAGGGGACCTCTGGTGACATGGCGCCTGAGGGGGGACCTCTGGTGACATGGCGCCTGAGGGGGACCTCTGGTGACATGGCGCCTGAAGGGGGACCTCTGGTGACATGGCGCCTGAAGGGGGACCTCTGGTGACATGGCGCCTGCAGGGGGACCTCTGGTGACATGGCGCCTGCAGGGGGACCTCTGGTGACATGGCGCCTGAAGGGGGACCTCTGGTGACCTGGCGCCTGACCTTGCTCCTGGAGATTCTCAAAGATACCCAAAGTGGTGGTGTTTTTTTTTTTTTTTGTTTTGTTTTGTCTTGTCCTACTGTAAGGGCTCACCGGATTTCTGACTAGATCAACTGGTATTTTTTGTATAAGAAAACCCCTTCAACAGTATACTTGACATACGAGAGGGGAGCAAATAGAAGTTGGTTGCCTAAAGCAGAACTGAAGTCCGTAATACTCATCTCTTCTGCAACAGTCCAACATTAATGAGGTCTCTCACCGGCTTCTTCTGGGTGCCGAGTCTCCAACTGGTTTTGGTTATCATGGCATGACGTTCATTCATCCCAGCACTAAGGCACTGTGCCGAGAACGTCCCCTGAGCTGCGCATGCGCAGGAAGCCTGCAAGCAGGCAGATAGGTTTATTTTATTGCAAAAGAGACATCGCTCCTGTCTGCTCGAAATTCTTTGCATGTTTTAGATCTATTTTAAAGTGGAACTAAACCCTCCTATTCTTTTCAGCCAAGGAAGCTGCCATCTTGGCCTCTGTTTGATCTGCAACTGTCCTGGTGCTGCCCATGTGATCAGTTATGACTTCAGCCATTTGATGGTTTGACAGTTTGGTTGAGAACACAAAGAAATGTGACCGTTAGCCTTCCGGGCAAGTAATAGTTTTTTTAAACTGTTAAATCGATGGGTTTAGTTCCCCTTTAAATGGCAGGCAGGTGACTTCATATCTACAGTTTTGTTTTTTGTTTTTTTTAATCTCTAACTCAGATTACAAAGTTGGGAAGTTCCTGACAATTTTTTTTTTTTAATTTTTTTTCCTGTTTTTGTACAGTGGTTTCCTTCATGGACGTATATGACCGCAGTGTGTGCCAGGTTCGGGAGACCCTGGTGGACGTACTCCAGGAGTATCCAGATGAGGTGGAGTACATGTTCAAGCCATCCTGTGTACCACTGATGAGATGTGCAGGCTGCTGCAGTGATGAAAGTCTGGAGTGTGCGCCAACAGGGTGGTACAACGTCACATTGCAGGTAATAAAATCTTCACAACCTTTATACCCACCTCAAGGAGCTATTTTTTTTTTTTTTTATCTTTAATGCCCGGAAATCTGGGAAGCAGAGATGAACTCTCCTAGAGCCCCATATTTCTTCTGAACAACATACTTTTTTCAGCGCAGTGGAATGCACCTAGGTACTTTGAATGTGTAAAGCAGCCTTTCTCAACCTTTTCAACAGAGAGGAACATTTGAAATAACTTTCAGTTCTCATAGAGCCCCGGCTAGAAAGATCATTGGTGTCAGTGGGAACTTCTCTGAGAAGCATAAATTCCTCATTGCTCCAGGAACCCCCAGAAACGTCTGGTGGAATCCAAGAGTTTCTTAGAACCCTGGTTGAGAAACCTTGCATTAGTTTGGTGGTCATTGGGAAGAATGCTCCTCAGACTTGTGGTCATTGGGAAGAATTACCCCCTTACAGCTAGCTAGAAAGATCATTGGTGTCAGTGGGAACTTCTCTGAGAAGCATAAATTCCTCATTGCTCCAGGAACTCCCAGAAACGTCTGGTGGAATCCAAGCGTTTCTTGGAACGCTGGTTGAGAAACCTTGCATTAGTGTGGTGGCCAATGGGAAGAATGCTCCTCACACTTGTGGTAATTGGGAAGAATTAACCCCTTACAGCTAGCCCAGAGAAAGATCATTGGTGTCAGTGGGAACTTCTCTGAGAAGCATAAATTCCTCATTGCTCCAGGAACACCCAGAAACGTCTGGTGGAATCCAAGCGTTTCTTAGAACGCTGGTTGAGAAACCTTGGATTAGTTTGGTGGTCAGTGGGAAGAATGCTCCTCACACTTGTGGTCATTGGAAAGAATTACCCCCTTACAGCTAGCTAGAAAGATCATTGGTGTCAGTGGGAACATCTCTGAGAAGCATAAATTGCTCATTGCTTCAGGAACCCCCGGAAACCCCTGGTGGAATCCAAGCGTTTCCTGGAATCCTGGTTGAGAAACCTTGCATTAGTTTGGTGGTCATTGGGAAGAATGCTCCTCACACTTGTAGTCATTGGGAAGAATTACCCCCTTACAGCTAGCCCAGAAAGATCATTGGTGTCAGTGGGAACTTCTCTGAGAAGCATAAATTGCTCATTGCTTCAGGAACCCCCCCGGAAACCTCTGGTGGAATCCAAGCGTTTCCTGGAATCCTGGTTGAGAAACTTTGCATTAGTTTGGTGGTCAGTGGGAAGACTGCTCCTTACACTTGTGGACATTGGGGAGAATTACCCCCTTACAGATAACTAAAAAGATCAATCATATCAAAGGAAACTCATCTGAGGAGCATAAATTTCTCATTGCCTAAAGAACCCCTAAAAACCTCCTGGAGGAGCCCTGTTTGGGAAACCCTGATTTGATGGCTAGCTCAACCTTTTACACCATATTACATGTTGCGTCCGTATTTAGGGCATAGTGAAACACACAGGTAGGTATTCTGAATGTGCAGGAATGCGGTTGCAATGATTTGCAGGCAAATGAGTGAATAATCGCAGCAAAAAAAAAAAATGTATTTATTTTTTTTAGATTTATTTATTTTGGAAAAGGTTGCCTTAGCCTATAGGAAAGTTGCATGTTGAGAACAGGATTTTCCATTCTCTAGGTCTCCAGCCAAGGTGATGAGTGGGGAGAAGTGACCTTTTTTTCTTTTTTTTTTTTTTTTTTCTCAGATCTTGAGAATTAAGCCTTACGTCAGTCAGCACTTTGTAGAAAAGAGTTTCCAGCAGCACAGCCAGTGTGAATGCAGGTAAGGAAGAGACATCACATTATGTGAAACCCCACCAGCCATGTACTGTCATCTACTGATGGTCAGCTCTCCAACAAATAATTATCGTTTCTTGTTTTTCCTGCAGACCAAAGAAAGAAATTAAAGGCCAACAGGAAAAGTAAGTGACTTTTTTTATTTGTACCTCAGGTCATCTGTACTCCATTGAAGTCATTCCCCTGTCATTGACCCTTCCTATGCTGGAAGTTTTTTGCTGCTCTAGCAGGGTTAATGGACCAAGCTGGCCAATGTTCATGACTAGACAGACCACTGTACCGCTTGGTCGGTCATTGATATGGAGATGAGATTATCAGAGCAATGGATCAATATAGAGACATTGATGATATATTTTAGAGAATGATGCAGGGGAGGTGAGCGTATTGTGACTGATGCTCCTCAGCACGCATACCGTCCACATCTTCATGTTCTTTGCTTCTCAAACTCTGCTTGTATAGTAGAGGTGGGGTCTGTGGGGGATCATATCATATCCCAGCCGGCATACCTAATGTCTACTATCATGATGGGTTTTGGGTAATTCTAACCTTTGGTGAATGGAGCATGGTTCTTGATTCTATGCATGTTCTCTGTTCTAGAGGAAAACCAATTGCTGTACAATCTCTATACACCTAATGTTCTGCTTTCCTACCTGTAATTACTCGTTGATTTTTTTTTTTTTTTTTTTTTTTTGTAATATGGTTTTAATGGCGTATCCTCCATCATAGGTATGCAAGGTTCAGGTCCTCTTCTTTAGAACACCCAGCTTGATGGGCCCCAGTGCTAGTCCCCAGCACTTTGTTCTTTTCAGCTTGAGTTTAGCGAGAGGTGGGTGGATAAGAGCCTAGGGGGATACGGCAAGGGCGGCTTCATAGACCCTTGTTGGAACTTGCCACCTGGCATCATTGCAACTGAAGCGTTCTTCCAAATGCTCTTGCAGCATCATGCTTCTATCATGCTGGTAGCAAGAAGCTCCAGGATTTGAGGTGTTAACCTGTTTTTAGCTGGGTACTCCAAAAAGACAGGTTAAAGAGGCACTGGGAACTTGCTTGTGCAGTCAATTGAAGGAAAACTTCATCAAGCTTTTAGTTCTCAGTCAGCAAGGCTTCCCAAATAGGGACTCAACAGTAGTTCAGACTATAGACATACAGTAAAGGGCTGCCAGACCAATTGGACGAAAGAGTCCCAGATAATTTTAATTCGTTCATAAACTGGTCATAAAACACAGCCAACGCATTTTGACGGCCAAGCCAGTCTCTCCTTATCAGGGCTTAACACAGGATTAAAACTTGGATGGACTCGGGATGAAAAAAAAAAAAAAAAAAAAAAGTCATAAAACTGGAAAATTAAAACGATCTTAGACTCTTTCATCCGATTTGGTCTACAGTCCCCTTCCGTAGGTCATTGGTTTGTAGCTCGGTCCTGGCAGCCCAGTTGAGATGTTGTGAAGTCAGAAGGTATAGAACATCTGCAAAGACATGTCCCCATGCCACAAGTTTCCATTGTATCTACTGTAGTCAGGATGTTAATGAAATTGTAACTATATCTTGAAAGTTGCACCACTGGGTCCAGTAGGGTTTCAGACCTCGGGCTTTGACCGTATATTTAATGTGTTATATATATCTCAAGATGCAATAATCACCTATCGGAGCTGAGACTTTGTGCATTAAGTTCACTCCAAACCTCAGTCACCTGCTGGAAGGGTCTGAGCAAGGCATGGAAACACTACTCGAGGGCACGTCCCACAATGCTCTGCTCTAGAAAGAGCAATGTTTTTCCTATTAGGCTTACTATTAATATCCAGCCACGTGTGTGGGAAAGGTCACCTCTGTTCTTCATGCAGCTTCATAATTAGGAAGGGGGAGATAACTGCAGTGACATTGCTTCTGACTTTGCTCCCACCAGAAAAACTGATCTACTTTGCACACTAATAAAGATGATCTGGACAGGAGTTGGCTAAGTACCATACTCTTCACAGTCCGTGGCAACATCTGTGGGGAGACTACAGTAGGAGCGGTCACGCTGCCGCTATCTTCAGCTTTCCTGTTTGTATATGTGGGCCCAGTCATACGTGCTGCATTCCAACACATTATGCAGGTATTATTCAGGCAAGTACAAAGACCTGTATGTATCTGCCCCAAGACAACCGCCAGGATCTCTGAATATCTGATTCCGCAGCAGCCATGTATTCACTGTAATTAGAGGTTACAGATAAACTGTTCTTGTTGTCAAAGAGAATATCTCCTGTAAACTAGCTCTACATTTCGAGTCAATTTATACTTGTGATTGTCCAAGCAACGTTGTCCAAAGCAGCCTTTCTCAACCTTTCTACCCTGGAGGAACTTATTGAAATAATTTTTAGGTCTCAGGAAACTCCTGTTAAAAGTGTTTCTCTCTACATTTCTTGATAAGATAGCATGATCTTCTAGCCTTTGAAAGCTTTCAATAAAAGGAGAGAGAATTAGGCATACCTAGAATGTATGACACCCAGGGCCAGATAGTTTACACTCCCTTGCTCTACACAAAATAAACAAACAATAATGGCCAGAAACCAAATTTTTTTTAAAAATGGCCTCTTAGGCTGGCCATACAGTAAGCAATTTTCTTTCCTTCAACCACAGCAGTGATTGAATGGGGGGGGGGGGGGGGACCTGACAGGCTGGTTATACTGCAGTCAGTCAATAGATTGGCATCTTTGGCCAGCTTTATACTAGTGTCCCCTTATATTGGTGGCCAGTGGAGTAATTCCCATTTTGCAATGGTAGCCAGTGGAGACATTCCCATTTGCAATGGTGGCCAGTGGAGACATTCCCATTTGCAATGGTGGCCAGTGGAGACATTCCCATTTGCAATGGTGGCCAGTGGAGACATTCCCATTTGCAATGGTGGCCAGTGGAGACATTCCCATTTGCAATGGTGGCCAGTGGAGACATTCCCATTTGCAATGGTGGCCAGTGGAGAAATTCCCATTTGCAATGGTGGCCAGTGGAGACATTCCCATTTGCAATGGTGGCCAGTGGAGACATTCCCATTTGCAATGGTGGCCAGTGGAGAATTCCCATTTGCAATGGTGGCCAGTGAAGAAATTCCCATTTGCAATGGTGGCCCAGTGGAGAAATTCCCATTTGCAATGGTGGCCTGTGGAGAAATTCCCATTTGCAATGGTGGCCTGTGGAGAAATTCCCATTTTGTATTGGTGGTCAGTGGGGAAAAAAAACATTGCATCAGTGATCAATGTAGTCATTGTAGGTGAGAGATCAATTCACTATTGCTCACTGTTCAAAGAACACTTACCAACTTCAGGAGGGACCTTAGGGTTCCACAGAACTTTGGTTGGGAAAGGCTGGTAAACATTCTGCCAATACTAAAGGATACATAAGTTGAATGTCCTGTATGATTGGATATACTAACCAAACGGCATGTTTGCTGTTTGGTTTGTGTTGGTCAGATAGCTACCTCAGGGGGAACTTCTACAGAACTTTGGTTTGGAAAAGCTGGGTAAACATTCTACCAATATTACAGGATACAAATATTGGCAGGCCTGTATGGGTGGATCTACTAACCAAACAGCAGGAACATATAGTCTACTGTTTCGGTTGCTGGGAAGCTATTTGAAGTCATCATGTTGGTTCCTGGGATTAGATCAGAAGTTCCAGAGGAACCCAATAATCCAATAACCATGCGAAGCATAATCCTGTGTTTGTAATTAACACGGCCTCTGTGGTCATTAATATCTAATTCCTTGACTGTTCCCTAGAAGTGTAATTTGATGGTTCTCATCAGTTGACTGTCCCACGTTCAATAGACTTTAGTCAAAATGTATCTGCTGTGAGTGTTCTAATTGTCCCGGTCAACCTCATCCTAAATACCTAATCCAACATATTAACGCTGCTCTTAGTCATCCTACGCATCCCATACCTGCCTCCATGCTGCTCTAGTTTCTCTCGTTTTTTGCCCTTTCTCCCTGTCTCTCGCTCTGTGTTTATTTTTTTTCTTCCAGAAAAGCAAAACGAGGAAAGGGCCTTAAACGAAAGCGCAAGAAAATCCGGTACAAATCGCACCGCTTGTACGTTTGTATCGTGTGCTCACTAAAATACAAAGCACCTAAATAAAATACGGCATTGTTTTCATATCATTCCACCAATTAATCCCATTAATCTGCTCGTCTTGTCTTGCGGATTGGGTTAAATAAAAATCGGGATGTATAATTGAAGGACTTTGTGGTGATGGGTAATTAAGCACTCGAGTCGGGGTGGGGATGTTTTTTTTTTTTTTTTTTTGCGTTGTCTTAATGTCATCATGAGACTTGGTATTATAGCTATTACTGCTTTGATATGAAAGATCCCAGCAACTGATCGGATGACTTCTGACCTTGTTCCTGCTTCTGGCCTATACTTGGTATTAGAACCGTTCTAGCAGCTCAGGTATGGGAGCAGCGGTGCTCCAACTATTTCGGCTGCCATGCCCACCCCCCCATTCCCGAATCTGGAAAAGCAACCATGCTCAGGGGTCTCTCTCCGTCTCCTCAGATCTCATGATTACATTAGGTCAGCTGGTCACTGGTGGTGATGGTATCTTCCTTGCATTCAGAGTCCATTGCTTGGTTGCGATTGTATTGGCACATTGGTCATTGTGACTTGCAAGATTGCTAGGCTTACCAATGGGCTGTCCATTAGCTTACTTCTGTATTTTGGCTGTGATAACAAGACATGGCAACCGTGGCAAAGAACTATCGATAACTGTTCCAAATTGCTCTACTTTTTTCTTTTTTTTTTTTCTTTTTTTTTTCCCTTTCCGAATTGGATTTTGCAGGCCTGGGCACACAGGCTGCCTTTCAATTCATCATGGAGCTTGGATATGCAAGATCATTGCCGTCTATGCAGTCACAGTGGCCTGTCCATCCTTTCCCATTCCCCGTAGGCCATCACACCAAGCAGTCTCTCTATGAGCCAAAGTGATGTCACCTAACATTCCAGCTACTCACCTTTTATCAGGAAAGAACTCTTTCTGTATCGGCCGAACACCTAGATATCTAGGTTTGCCCAGATGGCAACTTTAAAAATGCATGTAATATTGTGCCTATGGCTCATGCTAAATTTTTTTTTTTTTTTTTTGAATTTGTATGCAGTTGTCTTGGTAGGCGATCTTTTGGGCTCTGGTGCTGGGGAAACCCTCTGTAAATGTATTTGCTTCACCTTGGGTCCTAAGCGAGACTGCAGTCACTTGACAGACATATGCCATGCTGTGACTGGGGTTTTGGAGAGAATGCAAAATGGCTGACGTCATCCCTGGAAATGTGTTTTCTGAAATTCTAAACTGCCACTTAATTACAACTGATGTAGACCATTGGACTATGACTCTCCTTTTTATATGTTCCTTATCTTAGTAAATTGGAAAAACAATTCTGACACGGCCTAGAAAACTCGAGCATAATGACCGCACGCAAAAAAAAAAAAAAAAAACATGGGCGCAGCCATTTTCTACTCTCCAGTATGTTGCACATAAACTCGATGATGAAATATCTGGACACTGTTGGTTTTCCTATTAACAAAAGATAAAGAGGTCTAGCACATTTTCCAGTGACACTTTGCTCTACTTACTTTTCTTCTCTAATCCTAAAACGCTGCATTTGGAAGGCTTGACAAATTTGGGTTCCTAATTACTGTTCTCTTGCCAGTCTCTGATTAACACTGATTAACTCTTCCAGTATGTGTCTCCAGCACATTTTAGTTGCATACATATATCCAGTATATCAAATTTGCATGCCTAATATGATCGTTATTCCAAAAAAAAAAAATAATTCCATTTCTTCCTTCCAAATGCAGCTTTCTAATGCTACGCAGTGTCTGCTTTCTTCTGCTTGTCTCAGTGTCTTCCAACGAGAACGCAGGAAGGTGGCTGAATATTGAGGAGCAAAGAGGTGGTGGGGAGGGGAAGGGGGTGCAAACAAGCCATCTTGTGTGTTAATGGGCTACACAACATGGAGGCCAGTCACCGCAAGGGCTGTTCATAGAGATTGGGTTACTGAATATTAGTGGCCCACTCTACTTCTCCCGTGGGGACCACCTTCCAAGGAATGTGACCCGCTCTGCCTTTTTTATATCCACTTTCACAATGTACCAGGATAGGAGCTATAAAAGCAGGCCTGGCCGGTGGTCCCTCTGGGGGGGGGGGGGGAGTTCTGTGATGGAAGGGATTGCTTGTAATGTGTTCAGGAGTAATGCATGTTGACATTTCTCTTTGCTGTTGCGCTGTAGCTTAGAACTTCTTTTTTTTTTTCCCTTTTTGCTTTTTGCAGTCATTGTGAGCCTTGCACAGACACAGAGAGGAGAAAACACTTGTTTGTCCAAGACCCCCAGACCTGTAAATGTTCCTGTAAAAACACAGACTCACGTTGCAAAACGAGGCAGCTTGAGTTAAACGAAAGGACTTGCAGGTTGGTTTTTACGTCACACATGGAAACAAATGCAATGCAAAGATAGAGCTGCTTATTACTGCTGAATGCTGCTTGAAACTGTCTCCTTAAAGGATAGTGCTGTGTTTCCTATCTCTGTCCCTCCAATATTCTGTCCTTCGTCTTCTGTGTGCTCCGTAGTTGGGAGTCTAAACATGCACATTAACGACCATTCAGTGACAGTCTTCTACAGTAGTCCTTCCATTATTCGTGGAGGTCCGAAGGACTGTAGGCCTGGATTTGGACTCGTATGTGACATCACCCTCGCATGTCATGTGACCCGAGTATGCAGTTCAAAGGGCGAGCCAAGCAATAGGGTATCTGTATATGGGCTACACGCACCCAACTGGTCACTTGTCCTTCTGGAACAGATCCCTTTTAAATAACGTTCAATGTGCAGAAATTAGAGCAGATTGGATTTGTTTTAAATGTGTACGATGGAGAGACTTAGTCTGTGATATATTCTATGGAGGAGATTCTACATCCATCCATAATTTTTTTTTTTTTTATAGTGTGAACAATTGTGTTGAGGATCTACACACTCTCTGTATTGACCAGAGTGGAGAGAACCCAACTTGAATTTCATTTTTTTTAATGGAGCTTCCACAAGGGAACCCAATTAGAGCAGTATGTTGTCTTCCACTAGGAGAGGCAAGAAGCCTAGAGCAGTCCAGCCATATGGGGCCCCTCTTTCCGCTGACCTCGCTCACTAACATGCGCTGTGCCACCTCTGTGCAGCAAAGTAAGTTACCCCAAATAACACCTGCTTCTTCCTCCATATTTTTTCCATCTCTTAGCAGATGCATTCATGTACAGTTTGGCTTCACAGTGATGGAATGTGCTTCCTAAACCCAAAAAAATGTGCAAAACTAAGCCTTTAATGTTTGTCCTGCTGATCACATCCCAACTGTTCTCAAGGAATTTGGATTTTTTTTTTTTTTTTTTTAACTACAGCCTGGCACTGGCAGCTAGAGATCGAGGTGCATCCCGTGCCCTATTATCTCCTTGCATAGTCGCCCATATCCCATCGATGGGAAGACTGGTGCATTGTGATGACACATTGTCATGCCTGTAATAATAGGGCGTGTGATCACCTGTAATGTCGATAGCCGGATTAATTCATCGGCTGTCCAGCTTCCAGACTTTCCAATAAAAATTATCAATAAAAAGCTCATCTGGATGCTATACGATCTACCGTATATACTCGAGTATAAGCCGACCCGAATATAAGCCGAGGTACCTAATTTTACCACAAAAAACTGGGAAAAACGATTGACTCGAGTATGAGCCGAGGGTGGGAATCATTGGTGTCAGTGGGAGGAATAGTGCCCCATCATTGGTGTCAGTGGGAGGAATAGTGCCCCATCATTGGTGTCAGTGGGAGGAATAGTGCCCCATCATTGGTGTCAGTGGGAGGAATAGTGCCCCATCATTGGTGTCAGTGGGAGGAATAGTGCCATATCATTGGTATCAGTGGGAGGAATAGTGCCCCATCATTGGTGTCAGTGGGAGGAATAGTGCCCCATCGTTGGTGTCAGTGGGAGGAATAGTGCCCCATCGTTGGTGTCAGTGGGAGGAATAGTGCCCCATCGTTGGTGTCAGTGGGAGGAATAGTGCCCCATCGTTGGTGTCAGTGGGAGGAATAATGCCCCATCATTAGTATCAGTGGGAGGAATAGTGCCCCATCATTGGTGTCAGTGGGAGGAATAGTGCCCCATCGTTGGTGTCAGTGGGAGGAATAGTGCCCCATCGTTGGTGTCAGTGGGAGGAATAATGCCCCATCATTGGTGTCAGTGGGAGGAATAGTGCCCCATCATTGGTGTCAGTGGGGGGAATAGTGCCCCATCATTAGGGTCAGTGGGGGGAATAGTTCCCCATCATTGGTGTCAGTGGGGGTGGGGGGGATAGTGTCCCATCATTGGTGTCAGTGGGAGGAATAGTGCCCCATCATTGGGGTCAGTGGGAGGAATAGTGCCCCATCATTGGGGTCAGTGGGGGGAATAGTTTACCATCATTGGTGTCAGTGGGAGGAATAGTGTCCCATCATTGGTGCCAGTGGGAGGAATAGTGTCCCATCATTGGTGCCATTGGGAGGAATAGTGCCCCATCATTGGTGCCAGTGGGAGGAATAGTGCCCCATCATTGGTGCCAGTGGGAGGAATAGTGCCCCATCATTGGTGCCAGTGTGGAGGAATAGTGCCCCATCATTGGTGCCAGTGGGAGGAATAGTGCCCCATCATTGGTGCCAGTGGGAGGAATAGTGCCCCATCATTGGTGTCAGTGGGAGGAATAATGCCCCATCATTCGTATCAGTGACACCAATGATGCGGCACTATTCCTCCCACTGACACCAATGACACTTGCTGACCCCTGTTGCAGTATGGTGCTGCTGCAGCCTGCATATGTGGTTGCAGCAGCACCTCTGCACTGCACACTTACCTGTCAGCTGTCCTTCACTCCGGCCTCTCCCTCACTCGATTTTCGCGGGTCCGCTCGGCTCCGCCTCCTCGCCCATGATTGGCCGCCTGTGTACCTTTCCTGAGCTACAGTTCTGGCGGCCAATCACCGGTGAGGAGGCGGAGCCGAGCGGCAGGAGTGAGGAGTGGCCGGAGTGACGGAAGGAGCAGCGCTTCCTGGATGGATCATCGTGGGAGCCAGGTGACAGCAGCCCTCTGCCCACCCCTGTACGCGCCCCCCTTGACGGAGCCTCGCGCCCCCCCCTGCAGACGTTGACTCGAGTATAAGCCGAGGGGGCCGTTTTCAGCACAAAAAATGTGCTGAAAAACTCGGCTTATACTCGAGAGTATATACGGTAGTTAACGATGGTAATCTAGTTTATATGAAGACTTTTATTGTTTGTGCCAGAAGTTCTTTTTATTTTACTTCTTTCTCTATCTTCACTTTCTTCTAAATGTCACTGAAAGAGAGAAAAGTCCGGTTCGTTCTAGTATAGCGATCTATACCAACTTCTATTTTAAGTGATATGGTTAATGTGCTGCTTTAGAAGAATCCAGAATGTTTTTTTTTTTTTTTATTTTTGGGATGCAGGGACATGCTTAAAGAAGAAGTATCATGAGAAGTTGAATATCCTAGTCGAAATCCCCCCAGAGTCGCATTCTGTTCTGTGCTGAGGTTGCAGAGCTAGTGTGGTTGACGGTGCGTCCTCCTGCCTTCCTCCGCAGTTTGATCACATTGATCAAAAGGAGATGAATGGGTACTGATGCAGGGAAAGGGAGCAGTGATCGCTCCCACCTCTGGCTGCCAATGCCTAATGGAGCCGATAATGGCACAGCTACTATTATAGTCTCTCTCCCCAGAATACTGGGCGGGCAGATCTGGGCTCTAACCCTTTGAGGACCGTAAGATTACGGAACGCCAAAAGAATCAATTTTTTGTTTTTAAAGTTCGTACACTTCAGTTGCTGTAACTAAGCCATTTCATGAAATAATTGGCAAAAAGCTAGATCCATTTGTTGATAAGAACTAATATTTTGACTCAAACCAAAAAAAAAAAAGTATTTATAAGTTCTTAATCAGATGATACAGGCAATTAAAAACATGGGACAAATACGTCCCTTGGTCCTCAAACGGCTAAGGAAGAGATGTACATGGCTGGAAGATGGCAGAGGAGGAGATGCCAACCAGCCAGCAGGCTCTACTGGAGAGTTGGCAAAAACTCAACTGATCGGCCAACTTCTCAGAGAGCCTCTACATCCAGGTGACAACTGCCTGATTCATATCTGGCTAATGACTGATAGGAAGAAAGGGGCACACACAGAAAAAGAAGTGCAGGCTTGTGCTGTGAGAGCTCAAGGGATGAGAATGAAGAGGGGGAGGTGGCTATAGTGTCGTGCTGTAGCTCTACCCAGTGGTGTATTTGTGTTTTGTGCAAAACACAAAACTTGGCGCCCCCCGCAGAGCAGAAAGAGCCTGACATTGACCAAGAATACCCCTGCCCTCCACCAGAGCCTTCCACTACCACTGCCCCCCATACACCAACCACCATCCCCCCCATCGAGATAGAGAAAGACACTCCCCTTCACAGCTCCGGACATCCCCAGGAACGAGAGTTGGGCTCTGCATACATCGTCATGAAACCCACAGTATCTCTCGAACACACCAGGTCCCCATGCCGCATGTGTCCCTTCTTCCGTCCCTTCTTCCAAGGGGAAGTGCTGCCCCCCCCCCCAAAAAAAAATGCATCCCTAGGCAAATGCTATGTTTGCCTTGTGGTAAATTCTCCCCTGGCTCTACCTCCATAAGAACATCTACAAATTGGGCTACAGCCTTGGGAGGAGCTCCAACCAGCACGTACAGCTAGAAAGTGCTGTTATTTCTCAACTACAGTATAGATCAGAGCAGGACCAAGTGTTACATGAGCTTGGGCCCCTGGGAAGATCCAAACACGGTTTTCACTTTTGGGGAGGAGCTACAACCAGCATGTACAGCTAAAAAGTGCTTTTATTTCTCAACTATAGGGATGAGAATGAAGAGGGGGAGGTGGCTACAGTGTCGTGCTTTAGCTCTACACAGTGGTTTATTTAGGTTTTGTGCTGCCCTAGGCAACACAAAAATTGCTGCCCACCCCCCCCCCCCTGCAGAAAGAGCCTGACGTTGACCAAAAACACCCCTGCCCTCCACGTGAGCCTTCTACTACCACTGTCCCCCATAAACCAGCCACCATCCTCTCCTTCACAGCTCCGGACATCCCGGGAAAAGAGTTGGGCTCTGCATACACCGTCATGAAACCCACAGCATCTCTCGGAACCCACCAGGTCCCCCTGCCACGTGTGTCCTTTTTTCCATCCCTTCTTCCAAGGGCAGTGCTGCCCCTCCTGAAAAATGCCGCCCTAGGCAAATGCCTTGTGGTAAATACACCCCTGGCTATACCTCCATAAGAACAAATTGGGCTACAGCCTGGGGAGGAGCTACAACCAGCACACACAGCTAAAAAGTGCTTTTTTTTCTCAACTACAGTATGGATCAGAGCAGGACCAAGTGTTACATGAGCTTGGTCTCCTGGGAGGAT